CTTGAACATTTCCAACTGCAATTAGATAATAACAAAGATTGAAAAAAGTTTTCACCAATTGTGATTATTTGTGCTCCTATAAGGAACTTGACAACGACATAATAAGCCAATACCACCACGTTAAATGGGCCAAGGAGCAATCAATCAAATATAGTATTAATAATCGGCAAGGTGTTGACTATGAAAGTAAAATGCTAATTGCGTACCCTAATTTGTCACACAACCATTCCTTCGTTTTTTTTTTTATGTTTGCCAAAAAATCAGAAAAACAACCTCTATAGTGGGCATCAACCTAAAAAATCAAAATTTATCTTTTCAAAGACACTTTCAAAGATAATGATGACCAATCTTTATATGATTATCAAGATGTTGTTGATTTGATAGTTTGTTATGAACATCACAACAACAATTCTTCATTTTATGATATCATTTGTAGCCTTATCGTCATCAGTAAAGATTAGCACCAATGCTGATAGAAACACCCATAAAGCTGAGGCCGTATTCACCTCACCTAACCTAAGTTGTTTGAGGCCTGCCTAGAATCTTTTGCTCCTACACCCCCAAGGATTACTAGTAACACCCTAACCATATGACTTGCTTGAGTTGGGATAAGTTCATTGCATTGCTCCTCTATCAACGCTTTCTCAACAAGTAACAATAGCTCAATCAAGAAATTCTTTTAATTTTTCTTTGCAAATAAGCAACAACAACAAGCCTTTGTTGTTGTGTCCTATTGAGCGTCATATTTTCATTTAATTCTAATAAATTAAGATCATTTTTTATACAAAATGCCTAAGCCTTTTTATGTCTACCTCTACCTCCCTTAACATAAGTTGAATATAAAACACCTACTCTCATAACTAGTTCATCAGATTGTCGATGTTTAATTGACCAAACCACTAAAACTACTCTCTCTAATCTAGTCCGCCAATGGAGCTACACCAACCATTCCATGGATACAATCATTTAGCATTTTGTCTCTAAGAGTCAAGCCACTCATCCACCTAAGCATTCTCATCTCAAGCAACATATAAATTAGTTTATGCTTCTCTTTTAGAGGGCCAGCATTCTACGCCATAAAGCATTGTAGATCTCACCACCATCTTATAATATTTTTCTTTAAGTCTATGTGGTATTTTTCTATCACACAATAAGCCAGATACAGTCCTCCACTTCAACCATCCAACTTGAATTATATTAATAACATGTCACCATCACTCTGAACAATAAACCTGAGATATCTAAAACATTCACTTCTTTGAGTGATTTGATCACTCATTATTGCAACCCCACAACTAGATCCACTAATACTAAAATTACATTCCATGTATTCGGTTTTACGAAAACCTTTATTTAAACTCTACTGTAAACCTCCATAATTCAAGTTTATCATGAATGTTTTCTTTAGTCTTATAAACAAGAAGGATATCATCAGCAAAAAGCAAACACCAAGATACATTCTTTTGTAAATGTCTAGTAAGTGCATCCATAACTAAAGCAAAAAGATATGAGCTTAAAGTCAATCCCTGATATAATCCAACTGAAATAAGAAAATACTAGATCAACCTCCTTTTGTCCGAACACAAGTAATAGCTCTTATATACATATCTTTAATAACTTGAATATAAGTCATATCAACACCTTTCTTTTTTAGAACTCTCCAAAGATCTCTTGGAACCCTATTATAAGCTTTTTCTAAATCAATAAAAACCATATGTAGATCATCTTTAATCTCTTTGTATTTCTCCATCAAACCTATCAATAAATGCATAGCTTCCACAGTAAACTTACCCGGCATAAATCCAAACCGATTAGGAGAAATCTTTGTATCACATCTTCACCTGTGTTCAATTTTTCTCTCCCATATATTTAATGTATCACACATTAACTTGATTTCTCTATAATTTGCGCACTCTTGTGCATAACCATTATTCTTAAAAAAGAGACCAAAATATTCTCCCTCCACTCCTCGAGCATCTTTCTAGTGTTTAAAATAATATTAAAAAGTTTAGTGATCCAAGAAATTCCAAGTTTCCCAAATATTTTTACACTTCTTTTGGGATACCATTAGCTTCAACTGATTTTTCACCCTTAGTCTTCTTTAAAGTCTCCTCAACTTTCTTTTTACTAATGTGACGGTAAAAATAAAAATTTTTATTATTATTAATGATATTAAGATCACTAAGATCGATGGTATTTTCAAGAACTTCATTGAAAAATTTATCAAAATATCTCACCCACCTATGTCGAATATCTTCCTATAAAAATACTTTTTAATTTTAATTTTCAATACACTTTGCTTGAATTAAATGTTTACTTTTTTTTTCTCTTTGCTTGGCTAGTTTATGTATATATCATTCACTTATATATTATCTAATCCATCATAAAGATCACTAAAAGCAAATTTCTTATCATCAAAAATTATTTTCTTAGCCTCCATACATGTCACCATATATTTTTCTCAGTTCTTTAAGCTTTTACATTTAAATCAATTTTTATAACAAAATTTCTTATATTTTATCTTTTCTTGCACATTATTATTTCATCACTAACTATTTTTATTTATAATTTTTTTTCATTTTGATACTCCAAGTACATCATTTGTCACTTCTTTAATAGTGTTTGTTAATTTATCCCACATATAATTAATTTTTTTCATGAAAAACGCAAGTCTTAAAATCTTGAAGTTTACTTATAAAAATAATATTATTTGTCTTTTAGGTGTCCGCATCGAATTCTATGACAATGTTTTGTTGTATTTTTTTTATGTTTGAACTTTTAATCTTAAAATCCATTCTAATAATCGATGTTAAATGCTTAATTTTTTTACTTGGAATGACCTTATAATCTTTACATTCTTGACGATCTCTTTTTCTCATAAGAAAATAATCAATTTGTGTTTATTATATCTATTCTTATAAATAATAATATGTTTATCTTTTTTCTTAAATAAAGTGTTACCAATAATAAAATCATAAGCTAAAGTAGAATTTAATATGGTTCTAGCTTCTTCATTAATTACTCCAAAATCGTAGTCACCATGAATATTTTTAAAATCTTCTACCACACTACTAACATGTCCATTTAACTCTCCTACAATAAAAATTCTTTCTTTTAAATGTATCATTTGTATTAATTTTTTTAAGTCATTTCAAAATATTTCTTTTTTAACTTATATCTAAACATACATAAGGAGCACAAGCACTTATAACATTAAAATCTTAGTAACAATAATAATTTTTAGGGTTATAATTATATCTTCAATTTTATTAATTTTTTACAGTATTATCTTTCAAACTCTTATCCGTGCAAATAAACACTTCAACTAAATTTTGTAGGTGCCAACAATCCTCCATGTCACATCCACAATCCTTATGGGAAACATAATGCTTTGGAAAGTCCTGACATGTGCACCTCCAAAAACGTAGTTGATATAATCTATGATGATCAGCAATTAAGTTCATTGGCATCCAATTAGCAAGATGCATCTTTCATCTATATGAATCTGGACGAGTGATCTTGAACTTTGTTGGAAGTATGCCTCCACAATCTTTATAGAAATGAATTTGACAGAGTGTATTTGGAGCTTCTCAAGTCGTTGTGGCAAAGGAGTTTCATAAGTACTCTTCGAGAGGCATGCCATGCAAATTGTTGTAGTAGAGCTTAATGCAATGAAGACATATTATTGCTCGTGGATGTTGGAAACAAAATATCCAACTTTAAAAAATTTTAACTCAAGGAGATGTTCTTGTAAATCATTCAAGAATTCCATGAATAATTTTATTCAAACATTATTCCAATTGACTTAACTACCTAGTGGTGACAAACTACCGTTGTTCATTATAGGGGACTGCTCTATTTCCCCATAATGCTCCATTGCTTAATTTCTTACCTTAGACATCTTTCCATTCTCACTACACCTAAGACAATGTTAAATCTAAAACTATCTAAGGCAATGCTAAAACTTTACAAACAAGCAAGGAACAAGCTTTAAAAATGAGAGAATAGAGATAAACAAAGAGATAAAGTGAGATTTTATGATTTCATTAGATCTCCACCAAAAAGTATAAACTAATGTGAATTGAGTAAATTAGAATTTCTTAGAATGTTGGTTAAGGTCCAATGATATATGATATACTATAAGTTATATTTGGGTAATACAAGTAAAAATAAATTTAAAAAAAAAACACTTATTTTAAAATGAATAAATCTAAGTAGCTTGTTGCTATCTAATTATATAGATAATTATAGATAATCTTTCGAATAAAGGAACAGATCTTTTGAAGATAATTCCTTGATGAAATCACTAGCAAATCCAGTATGAGAATTTGTGTGCATTTCATATGCTCGAGTGACTTCATTTGAGGAATTCATAAGCAAATTTAAGTAATCCTGGGGAAGAGTTTCCAATATATAAGCCATGTATCCTTGACAGCATAAATTGATGAGTTTGTTATCAAGTTCTACATTTTGGCATCTTCAAATTCATGGCGAATTAATGTAATTAATTGGCAGCATGCTTGAATCAATTTTATAGTAATAGCATGGCTTGATTAGCTTGACCCATGTGACATTGGATGTGCGCCAACTTTTTTCAATTTCCAGTAATATAAAATGATTTACTCTGCCAATGAAACGCTAGAAGTTCAATTTATTAACTATCAACAAGCATTTGGTTTTGGACTCTCAAGTTGGAATGAATTGCATGCAACTAAAATGAATACTTGAATAGGTTGCCTCATGAAAGTCTTATTCCCCGTAAAATTGACTTTGCTTTTCTTTTTGATATTAATAACTGCATTTCAAGGCAAAACATTTAAAGGAAAACTTTGCATCGACATAAACAATTCTAAGCTAGACAAACCGCAGATAAACCTCGACAGAGAAATTCAGAAATTTAAATGCATACAACCAAACAGATACATGATGGTTACCAAATAATTGTACTTAATACTAGAACAATTCTCTCGACCAGGAAAATGAAACCAAATTCAACTTACCGCCATCCCTGAAGCCCTCTCACTGGCATCACCATCATATCGTATCATCGTGCTCGCATTTGTATAGAACTGGTGAACCAAACTCGGCGTTCGTTGTAGAAAAGGATAGTACTGCCCCAGAAAGAAAGACCCAACCTAAAAGAGCAAGCAGTAACTTTATTGCGGAGTACTAAAGCGCAACCAAAATCACGGAAACGAGGAAAGTAAGATCCCTTTCTCCTTCCCAGAATTCGACTACCTGAACGGCACTGACTTGCCCTGGAAACGCCGACGCCATTGTCACTCCTCCCAAAGAGCATGCAAGGAGATGAATCCAAAGCCCTGACCCCGTGAGCTCTTCCCTCCTCCCAAATCCCTAGATCCAAACCCCTGCCCAAAAAGTCGGCAGCCCCAATCGATCCGTTATCCGGATTATAATAACAGAAAAGCTCAAGGAGACCTCGGATTCCTCTGAAGATCGCTTTTCCTCTTTATTTTCTTCGATTATTTAAGGCTTCCCTTTCTCTCTGTTACCTGTCCTCGTCTTCGACCCCCGCACAAACGCTGCCCTCTTCGAGATAAGGGGCTGCTTAAACTTTGCCAGCGCGACGGCAACTGTAATGTACGAATCGATGCGTATTTATAGAGCCTTTGATGTAGCTTTCTGAGTGCATTTCTCGTTTTGAAAAGTGATTTTTTGTGGATTTAGGAATTCGATTCTCATTCAGGACTGCTTTCTGAACCGCCAAATGTTAAATGATAGCACAGAAAATACCATCCTACTCATCAATATGATAGATGTCATTCTTTCTTTATCCCCGATATCATTCTTTGCATACCACCCAATAGGAAATTTTACATACATACCGCTTAGTTCCTATGTATTTACACATCGTCCGTCTAAACTTCAATCTTTACACATGCGGCGCATTATCTATGCAAATAAATCTCATTTTTTGATAAATTAAAAGTAGTGGAGGGGCCAAACTGAAAGGCTTATGTCCCTTATTCAGCTCTCCCTCCTAATCTTCACTATGGAGCTCTTTCCACTTAATTAATTGTCTGAAACACCACAACAAGATAAGCCACTCTTTATGGTTATCAGTATCCACCATTGCTCCATAGTCAGTCAACTAGGGAATGTATCGAAAGCCCATAACATAACAATTAAGATTGTTGTGAAACTACTAAGATTAGCATATCAAATAGAGCAAGCAGGAGAAGATTGGTGCAATCAATCATATAGATGGCAATAATCACATGGACAAAAGCAAGCAGATAAAATAAATAAGTTGGTAACATATTTTCGACTACAAAAAATATCCCCAAAAAAGAGTCGATGTCGAAGAATTACAAAAAAATGCTTGATCTTGAAGAATTACAAATAACTTTTGAAGAACTACAAAAAAATAAAATCTTTTTCGCATAACTCTCACAAATATATAGATCAAGGATTTTCTTGCGATAATTGTGAGCTTGTTTGATTAAGGGGAATTTTGCATGTAGTTTTATGTTGATGAACGTCCGCAATTGTGAGTTTTATTTGTTTTCTGCTCAGCCTTCTCGATAAAACTCTCAATTTTTTTCTTCGATCATTCTCTTGGACGCGAACTGTTGGGCACACCAATGTTAGTAGCATCATCGATCATACTCCACTCGCCTTTACCTGGAAGAGTAGAAATAGAATCTTCATATGTTGTTTTGTACCTATAATTAAAATAATAATACTAATTACATTTTTAGTTATAGAGATAAGTAGCAAATAATTATTTAATAAATAAAAACCTAGTGGCATGATAGCAATCATTAACATAAGTTAATTAATAACATTTTTTCTTTTATTTTAATTTTTTTGTCATTGGAAATGCATATGTTTTGAGACAAAGTTGAAGGTGCATGACATAAGTTAGCAGCATCAATTTTCCATCTTGATCAATCATGAAAAGTCATGGAATAATAGATATACGAGTATTGTTTCTCTGAATCTCTAAGAATTTTTCTTAGACTTGTTTTTTAAATACATGTTTTCGTGTTAGTAATTGTCAATTTGTTTGTTATTTCCTCATCTTCAGTCTACATAAACACTTTGGGAGGAGAAATTTGAGCATTGATTTCAATTTTTTTTATTTGAAAGTAATTTGCTGTTGGAAATGCATGTGTTTTGAGACAAACTTGAAGGTTACATGGCACATAAGTTAGCAGCGACAATTTTCCCCCATGATCAATCAGAAGAAGTTATGGAAGGATAAATATATGAGTATTGTTTCCCTATATCTCTGAGAATATTTCTTGGGCTTATTTTTTAAATGTTCTTTCTCGTGTTAGAATTGTCAATTTGCTTGCTCTTTTCTCATCTTTAGTTTACAGGAACATTTTGGGGAGAGAATTTTGAGCATTGAAAATGCATATGTTTAGAACAAACTTAAAGGTTTAATGTTAGATAAGTTAGCAATCGGTGAAGGTTATACAATTGTTATTCAGAGCAAAGGGCTTAATCGATCTCCATGAAGAAAGGGCTCAAATGGAGCACCGTTTAGAAAAATAACTATCAAATGGCTTAATCGCTCACCATTTGTCAATTTTAAAATTCGCAAGTTTTTGCCATAGATATTGTGTGTTGTTAGATAACACATACAAGTGTCGGTATGAATGGAAAGTATGGTGATTATGGATAGAGTCTTCTTAGATTAAGAAATTTCACTAAGCTCTAATAATTCGTTCGAGGACTCAATTTGGTTAGTGTGATTGAGGCAGAGAAAAATGGTTTTTGATAACTTACCTAGTATATAACCTTTAAGTTTGCATCAGAATAAATGAATTACAATGTTATACATATTTCAAGTAAAAGAAATTATGGAACAAGTTCCCAAATTTCTCCCTTCTGAATATTCATCTAGACTGAAGAAGATGCAAGAGAAAACAAATTAACAATCACTAACATGAAAATAGACATATAAGAGACAAGTTAAAAAATTCTCAGAGAAACATATAAATAGTACTCTTGTCTTTATCCTTCCATAACATCTTTTGAATGATCATTAGGGAATATAGATGTTCCTAATTTATCTGTCATAATCATCAAGATTTATATGATCTTATTGTTTTAGATGGTTTGTGGACCCATTTGTTTGTTGGTTTCTGTTTGCAGTGATGCTTTTGGAGTTTATTTCGCTGACACATTTTACTTTTATTGTGAATTATTTTGTAGAAGAATGATGGAATAAAATAAAACAAAAGGCTCAATCAGCTACTGATTGTGAATTGAAAAAAATGGCCCTACAACTCTGACACGGATACTTCGTCTCTATGCTCAATTGGTGATATTGGATGGAGCACTTTTTGATATTATGAATTTGATTATGAGCTCTACTTTTAAATATTCTTTACCATGTTTCTTTTCTCTTCAAATATTGTTCATATACATGCTAAATATAGTTGTTTCTACGCCATTTCTTATTTATTGATATATCATATGGGCAAACAAAAGGAAGTGAGATATTTGTTATTTGGGATAGGGAGACGAAGATAATTTATTGTGATTTATGGTTGAGGAAGGTAGAAAATGACAATAAACATACCCCACACTTCGATAAGGAATATTGACAAAATATCATGAAACATTTGCAAAAGAGAACCGGTAGACTATACAAAACTCAGCTGAAAAACAAATGAGATCAACTTAAAAATTATTAAAAGTTATGGAATTAGCTAAAGAGAGAGGCTACTAGTTTAGGGTGGGATCCTATTAGGAAAGCAGTTAATGCACAAGATGAGCGGTGACAAAAAAATATTTCAGTAAGTGGAAAATCTTACATGTAATAGTAATTAATTTAAAGTTCTGCTTCTTAAAAAGCAAGTTTACCAACCTGCAGAATGACAAAAAATTCACGCTTGATGGTATTGAATCAGAGCTAAGGAGAAGCTTTATACTATGTTCCTCAGTATTGTGGCAACAGGCGTCAATGTCTGGGCTACAATAGAGCAGCCCACCCCAAAATTGGATGAGTGCAAATGTGTTCACTCCAATGCGGTCCACAGGGAACAACAAGAGGAAAGAGAGCAAGGGGAGTCATTTTAATCCAAAAGTTTTGCACCCTCGTAACAGGAATAGAAAAATAAAGTTAAGGTTGGGGTGGCTAACTTATCCCAACATATATCACAGTTGGTGACAAATTGCACTAGTATCACATATAGTGCCTGCACAGCTCTACATGCATACCCAACGATGACAAATGTTATCAAGCTACTCAACTATATTCCAAAGATTTTTTATGACTTGCTTCTCTGCTTATTTATTGTAAAACTTATCGAGGACCAAAATAAGCGGGAGGATTTCTTTACACTGTTATTGGAACGAAGGATTTGTTACCTCCATTATTTTTTATAGAGTTATACTAGCTAGATGACATGCCCCTCTACTTTTTTTTATTTATTGCAACTATATCATGTTGCTTATTTGTAATAATTAACATTTCCAACACAAACTATGACTTGTTTCAACTATTTATGAGATTTCAACATCTGTGGATTTATGTAATTGTATTGCTTGCATCATGCGTAGTTTGAGCATTTACATGCTATTTAAATAATTTGTTCAGTTTAAACAAGTTAATGAAACTTCTTTCAAACAAATGGAACCACCAAATGAAGATGAGATTATATAGATAATTGAGCGAGCAACCATCATTACCTACACAATTTATCTAATTCATGAGCATTATTAGAGAAATTTGTATAAGACGCCTTATGTGTCATCGTCATACGTGGGCGACAAATGGGTTGACGAACTAATGAATCAAAGTAGGATTCATAGCACGTTCCCGGTGTCGAAAAATATATTATGTGATTTACTGGATAAATTGCAGTGCATATATGATTTGCATGAATCTTCATGATTTACATCCCAAGTTATAACAATCATGCCTTTCATTATGTCACACAATGAGCCTATTTGTGTTGCTTATGAGTGTTTCCAATATCTATAGAGACAATCAACATGTATTTTCACATCGGGGTGAACTCTCTGGTGAAAATGTCTACAAACATTGTCAAACCATTGGACCCAACTTTGGACAAACACCTCAAAAAATTCATAACAACGATGTGAGATGCATGTCATTTTTTAAAGCATTGTTCTCTCTATCTAATCTGACATTACCACAATAAAAAAAATATTAATAACTTATGTTGCAACACTTTTTTTTTTCTAAAGAGAATTATATCGGAGCAATTGATAACATGCATGTGACACACGCGTTAGCAATGAGGAAAATATTGTATATGGAAAGATGTGGGACTGCTACGCATAATATATCAGCAGTTTGTGATTTCAGCACGTGCTTTACATTTGTGGTAGCTGACTGGAAAGGGAGTGCACACGACAACAAAATTTATAAATTTACAAATCAATGTCGTCAATATAAATTTCATTCTCAATGTTGGTACATTTTAGCCATCACTACAATATTTCCATTTGAGCTAATCCACTAATGTTGTCATTATTAAGAAAAATATTACCTAGTCGATTCGGAATATCCATTGCAACAAAATTTTTTTAAGCCTTCCCGACAATAGGTATCACCTTTCTGATTTTGAGCTCAACAATCAAGTGATTAGAGAGAGGAATTAGTTCTTTAATAAAAGACACTCATCATTACAAAATGTCATCGAGAGAGCATTCAGTGTATGGAAGAGGAAGCGGGTCATAATCTAAGATATGCCTACATATTCTTTTTAAAAAATAGGTGAATATAGCTGTTACAACAACAAATCTCTATACTTTTATATGGAGGCATCAATCCCAAGATGATATCGATTTTAGGGTTTTAGATAAAGATCCCATCTACATGCCTTAGGAAGCTAACCAACATCAGGCTGGACCTTCAATGCTTGAAGAGGACTTTAGTACAAACGAGTACAACACTCCTGAAGGAGAAGACATCCAAGAGATGATACAATTAAGAGAGAATATTACCGATGCTTTGGTAAACGCAATAACTGTACTTGTGTAGCATCACCTAATAATTTATTGTTGATGATTCATATTTCAATGCTACATTGGTTCTCTGGATGTATATTTTCTAAATATTTGTACCAATCTATATTGTAACTCTCTTTATGTATTTCGACAACCTTTTATTTTTAGTTTTAAGACTATTTTTTTATATATTTATTGCAGGTTATATTTGTTCATTTTTTGTTAATTGGAGCTATAGTGTTTTATAATAAAACGAAATATGAGTTTATGAGCATGAGGTTGGATGGTTGTCACATAACACAGACTTACATTGACATAGTATAATCATTATTCATTTCAATTGGGTCATAGCATTAAGTTGGAGAGTTGTCTATTTTTTTTTGCCTATGCAAGACAAACATTAATATATCACTCAATCATCATAAATTTAAGGGCACACAACATGACAACAATACATAAATACTTGAGAATTTTATGTATGTATATAAATCTTTCTTAGAATAGTTGTACATGTCTTTTACTCTCTGCACCACCACAACTCCCAATAAACGTTTAAAAGTTAATGACCCTTTATATTTCTACCGTGTTTTTCCCCCTTCAGGATTTTGCTTCGACGGCGAGAGGCAGTTCGGAAGCTCTCACGAGGCAGAATTTCTTCTCCTCTCAATCCCCCTCTTTCTCTCGCAGCTTTCTTACGGAGATGAGGGTAGAAAGGGAGGAACCCTCCACTTTTGTTCGTCTCCTCGCCTCTGCTTATTTGGGTTTGTGCTATCGGTAAGATTTCGAGGTGCTCATCTCGATCCAGTGCTCGTTTTAATCTTTGGGGTGCTGCTATTATTTTGAGAACCATTTAGGAATCCCTTCTGCTGTTGCTGGATGTGAAAATTGAAGAAAATTTTCTGGTTTCTGCTGTATAAGGATGTTGAATTGCCATTGTCATCAGTTTCCACCTCTTCGATTTCATGGGAAGTGAAGGGAGTTTTGGGAATCAATTTAAAGTTACATTTATCTAGTGTTGTTTTTGAATCAGAGAGGATCTTTGTTGTTTAGTTTTGGTTTACGTTAGGAGTAGATGTGGTGTTACCTGTGGGGAGCTTATTAGGGTTTCATTTATTTAAGCGCCTATTTGTGCTGCCTTTGAATCTGTAGCTTTATAAGGTGCCATGTTCGCCTAGGGTTTTTTGTTCTTATTCTGTCCTGCAGCTAAGGAAGAGTTTATTATGGTTTATTTTCTCTCTCAGTTTTTGCGTCAAGGAATCTGCAACCATTAATTTGAGCACAAGCATGTCTCTTTTTATTTTATCGTTTAACTTTACTATCTTAGGTTCCCCTTCATTCGAGTGAATTATGCTGCATTGTTGAATCTTATTCAAGCGTTTCTTGTAATACTGAAATATCAAGAGCATAAAATGTGAAAAAAAAAAAAAAAAGAATTGACATATCCCTTCTGTGGAAGGATGAATTGTTGGGTACTCAGGAGTTGTTGATGAATTCTGTGTAATATTTCAGTTTTTGGTTTCTTCATAGAAATGATGCAATTATTCTATTCATGCATATGCTTGAATAAACATATCACTGTGACTAAATTGCAGACAACACTTTGCTTTTCATGAGGTATGGCTAGGTCTAGCTTCCTTATTCTCAAAATGCCCAAGTAGGTCTTTTGGGTATGTTATAATAAAAACAGTCCTTTTTTTTTAAGATTCTATATTCAAAGTCCATTTTTTAAAGATTCTATATTCAACTGCCCTAATGTTTTTGAAATTTTCTATTTCATCAAAGTTGCTTCTGGCTCTATTAAAATTTGGGGATAATTACATGCATGCACTCGAAACTTTGCTATTTATTAAAGTAGCACCCAAGTTATTTTTCTGAACTATCAAACTGTTGCTCAAACCATCGGGAATTTGATAAAAATGAAAACAATGGGTTTGGGTCTTATTTTGATCTAGATATTTGAGTGAGAATTTGAAAAACTGATGAAAGAGAGCACTAGTTTCGTAAATAGCAAAATTTTGGGTGCTATGTATGTATTTCCCCTAAAATTTATTTTCCAACAGAAAAATAGAAGAAGTGAGCGCGAGTGGGAGGGAGAAGAGGTTGTAGTTAGCCAAACCACATGCCAAGCCATGGGCTAGTGAGTTCCCCTTGAATTTTTCATACCCATCTGCACTTATCAAGATTAGCGAGCTTAAGAGGGAGAACTTTACTGATTTCATATTTCTAAAGATTATTGTCTTAATCGTTTGTCTTATGAAGGATGAAGTTTTCATATTAACAGGCTTCTACGGAATATCTCACCCTATTCAAAATTCAATGATGAAAATGAAGGGCTTTTTCTAATTAATCTTTTTTTTTTCCTACAGTCAATATTTCTTTTTATTTCAACTATTGAAATTATACATCAAGCAATCTTCACAAGCTAGGAATAAGTTTCTTCTCTATCCATTACAGGTGCTACTTCATTTGGCTGCAATGTTATGCAACATATCAGCTGATTCCGTTTATGCCCTACATTTCTTCTACACTGATAAGTTTGTTGGCCTTGTGATTTTCTTTGTGGTTTAGTTTTGTTGCCACCTAGCTGTTAGGGGTGTGCGTTATTTGGTCAAAACCGAAAAACTTAATCGAACCAAACAAGTTTTGATTGCATAATGTAGAGGTCAATTTACTTAAGAAGAGTAGGATTAGCATATTAAATTAGCCATTATGGAATATTCAATCGAAGAACTAGTTTGATAGTTTTAAAATAGCAATGACCTATATGCGCTTATGAAGAATATCAGGTTAATGCTTCTTTGCTTATCCTCACAAAGCCGGAATAAGGTTTTTGTCTAGGCCATTACAGGTGCTACTTTATTTGGCTGCAATGTTATGCAACATATCAGCTCATTCCATTTATGCCCTACCATTCTTCTGCACTAATAGGTATTGTGGCTTTGTGATTTAATTTTTACGGTTTAGTTTTGTTGCTACCTAGCTACTAGGGGTGTGTGTTATTTGGTCAAAATGGAAAAACTGAATTGAACCAAACAATTTGGTTGATTCAGTTCGTTTTCAAAATGTATTTCATTTTTTTTTGTCTTTAAAACCTCAATGGTCTATTTTTTTATTATTGGTTTGGTTTTAATTTTCATTTAACCAAACAAACTGAAAATTAAAAAAGCTGAAAAATTTAAAAACCGAAAAATTCAAAAGTAAATGGAAGATTCATGAAATTAAATCGATATCATACATGTAAGATATGTAATTCTTGATGTTTGCTCATAATCAAACTCCAACTAACAACTAAATTTCGGTATGTTCATAATTAAACCATTTAAACTGAATTTAATTTTGGTTTGGTTGGTTCAATTTTATCAAAATTTTGATTGGTTTGATTTTTTTGATTTCGGGGGTTGTTTGACTGATTCAAAGACAGATCCATCCAAACTGACCGAATGCTCGCCCTCGCCCCATGATTAATATTTATTGATAGAAACCTTTTCAATATTTTCTTTTGACTTAATACAATTATCGGCAGTATATTTGGCAGAATGTCTGTGCCAAAGGTTACTATCAATTAATTTTCAATATTCTCTATTATGGTAGTGGTAACTTCCTGATTTTCATTGCCATTAGAGGTGCTATAGATTGCAGGTTTTCTGAATTCGTGACAAAGATGCTGATTAAATTTCAGTACTCCCTATTTTGATAGTAGTAACGTCTTGTCATTTTAAAAAATGTGCCACTCTCATGCCTATTTTTTCAGAAAACAGTTTTTTTTTTTTTTTTTTAATTTTTTAGTTTTTTCTAAAAATTTGCTAAATGGTTGCTTGCGTTAAGAAGCACAATCAACTCTCTCTCCTAGCAAGTCCGTTATGAAGCAAATCTGTAGCTCTGGAGTTTCAGCTGTTATATCATCATCTCTACCTACTCAGCCCAGTTTATTTGATGAGAGGTTACATGAACCGCTTTCTATTGTGCCACAACAAACCCCTTTAGTCTCTAATAGTGGGGTTATGGAACCTTTATTCTCATCAGCTTCTGGATTCTCCTCAGATCTTCATTACTTTTCTGTTGCCCCTCAAGGGAGATACCCTAATGGCGCCCCATTTATTGCTCCATCACCAAGCTGTGGAATGCCCATGCCTTCGGTCCAAAGTTTGGCGAGTAATTATCCTTTAGAGGCTACGGGAATCTCTTGGGTTCCAGAATCCATTCAGGATATTTTTAGTTACTCTGATAATATGAATATTGGGAGCAGTCAACTCCAGAACAGTCCCATTAATAATCAAATCAAGAACAGTGTTATTGCTGCTTCTGATGACCTAGCTAAGCAAAATGAATGGTGGGATTTGGGCAGCGAGGATTGGAAGGATCTTCTGAATGACCCAGTTGGACCAGAAACTCAGCTGAAGGTGTTTGTACTCCTCTCTTTTCTCGTCTTTAGTGTGTCAGTAGGTTATAAGAAACCATAATGATATTTATTGAATTATGGTTTTACATCTCTGTTTTTTTTTCTTTTCTATAATAGCAGTTTTTATAGATATTTGCAGCTTAAACTTTGAATACTTAATGTTAACTATTGAGAATATATTATTCTCTTTTAGGGGCATTTACATACTTAACACACAATTCTTATCCATTTACATATTTCATGCCTGAACTTTTATGTTTACACACATAGCACTCAAATATTTAATATCACAACAAAAATAGTCCTATTATGACTTTTAAAAGTGAAATGTGGCTTTTCATGCTCAAGGTTTAAAGCACCAAGTTGCAATGTATGTAAATGTTAAATTTTAGGCGTGAGATGTGTAAATACATAAGAATTGTGTGCTGCTTATGTAAATTTCTCTTTCTTTTATTTATTATTTCGGACTCACAAGAAAATAGTAGAAATATGGTTTTGATCACTTACGGAATCATTTATATTTTGAAGGCTGTGTATCAAGCAACGCAAGAGGCTTGTTTAAATCCATTGGTCCAACAAGTGCATGTTCATCAGCAGGTACCTTTGCATTCTGGGGAGCGGAGCATTATGAGCAGTCCATCACCTTCAATCAATGGAGCACCACCTAAGCCACGCATGCGTTGGACCCCAGAACTCCATGAACGCTTTGTAGATGCTGTTAAACAGCTCGGTGGAAGCGAAAGTAAGTGGTTTCAACCTTGGGCCAAAAAAAAAATAAAAATAAAAACCTTTTGCACTTGTTTGCTAGCCTGTCATTTTTCTGACCTTTTACCATTCTTTTATAAAAGAGGCCACTCCTAAAGGTGTTCTGAAGCTTATGAAGGTGGAAGGATTGACTATATACCATGTGAAAAGCCACCTCCAGGTTTGTAGCTTTTGTAGGAAAAACTGTAGCTTTCTAAGGCTCCGTCATTGAATTGTTTTATGTTGCAGAAGTATAGAACAGCTCGGTACCGGCCAGATTCATTAGAAGGTTAATCAAAGCTGGCATTCCTTTATTTTTTGCTTTTGATCTCCAATTTCAGTGTGCTTTACTATTCTATTGATTTTTTCTTTTGACAATTTTAATGCACAATAATAATTGTGCTAAAATTTTGTAGATTAATCTTTAAGTCAAATTATTGAGTACTGTGGCATTGAAGTCTGAATTTACCTTTTTTTTTTCATTGAGTTCAGAAAAGCAGGTATATTCTCTTGATGAAAAGGCATCATTGGACCTGAAAACGTAAGTGATTTTGTTTTTCTTTTGGTGGCCATATAGATTTCCAGATTGTAACCTTGATGATCTCATTTGAACAGTAGCGATTGCATAACCTCATTCCCTCCCAAGTAATATTTATTAATATATAAGTAGGGTTTATATTGATTGTTGGACTTAGTTGGCTTCATAATTTGTTGTTGAATTCTTTCAAAAGCTTGCCATGATTAGGGTTTAGGGTTAGAAAAATAATCAATTAGTCCTATGCTTTCATTTTGCCAATCCTGAATGTGCTATGATACATCCCATTTTTTGCATTTCTAGAAAGTGATGCAGGACATCTTAAGGGTTTGCAGTTTTATAGTGTAAATTATGATGAGATGCACAAGTTATATACATTAAGGTTAAATTTGCAGTTCACAAACTTTTGATGAAATTTAGAACACATATAAAATTGACCTACAAGGATTATTTAACGAACATTGAGTTAGAAGTTTTATGAGAAATTGAGATCATAAGAAGCTACAATCCGATCAAACATTGCATCAGTATTAAAAATGCAGATTGTGTAAGGTTTAACAAAATTCAAGCACACATGCAAATCAACTATTAAAACACAGAAAATAAGTATGCAAGGAATGAAATCACCAATTATTAATCCAGGCCTCTAGCTGTTACAAAGAAGATTTCACCCAAATTTCTTGTACTTAACACTTGTACTACACTGGAAGAATTCACATATAACCGGCATACCTGAAGAGAAAATAGGAATTTGTATTAATTATATTATTGAATTTTTACATGACTCAGTGTCTTATGTATAATCAAACGACCCAAAATATGAAGCTTTCCAATGTAAAATAAATCCCATAGAAGTTGACTTTCTCAAAATACAGGTCCGATTTCAGCCATGAGGAATTGCTAGTTTTTAAATCTGCAATCAGAACTGCATAACATTTGGAAATAGCTATAATGAAGATTGAAAAACGGAGTAACGAATCCTGCCACATTTTAGTCAGCAGCATGACTTCACTCTGGAATTCGGAATAGCAACTGTGCCAGAGCTAGGAAGGCAAGAGAGATGTCATTCATTTTGGGGGTTATCATTACAGATTTGCATCAATATTAGATCTTGATATGTCCGTGGATTATCCAGGATCCTGCTAACCCAAAGGAATTTGGGTTGGTTTAATAGAAATTAAGATAAAGATAAAAAAAATCGATGAGTAGGCTCAAAGAGTATCGTACAGAATCTTTCTAAAAAAGTCAAAACTTGAACCCTTGGATCTCCCCAAAAACTCTCTATTTATAGATGGAGATTTGGGTTCCGGTGCATTGCAGAAAAATCTATTGGATGGGTTGTTCGTATATTAAATATAGAAAAATGATACTGGAGGCATATAGTTGTAATATAAACTCAAAATTTGATTGAACTTGATAATTGGCTGTCGGGTGTAATAATCGTTGTGTCCCCTCGAAGTGTTGGCTGAGTGCTTTCTAGATATGAAAGACAATTTGGGTTGGTCGGTTTGGCTAGTCTATTGCTAGAGTTCTCCCTGAGCCTTTGTGGATGGTTTCTCCTCTATTCAGCACGTGCGTTCATCTAGTCCTGGCTGGTTGATGCCTTGAACTTGACTGGGCGAATGAATCCTGACTGATTGGTGAGTCTGTTGATGAACCTGATTGGCATGTTCATCTTGAGCTCTGTCCTGGTAAGTCTCCTCGAAACCCGCTCAGCAAGTTTCCCTGGAACCTGGCTGGCATGTTCATCTCGAGCTTGGTTGGCGAAACTCCATGGAACTTGACTGGAAAGTTTGTCTCCTTACCTCTTGAGTTAATCCACTTCTAGTTGCATACAATCATCTTAATTATTAGCAATTTTCCTATTATTTAGGTTCAATATCATCAATCATTTTCTAATTTTTAATCTGGTCTCGGTGAGCCTTGTACAAGACGTTAAACCTCTTATTCATAAAAAATATTTATCAACTTCTATTCATTTGATATATATTAAATTTTTTTTCTTTTTAATCCATTGATACCATGCACATTTTGAAATCATTTAATTTTATCAACTCACCTGAAATGCGTATTTGCATTACTAGCATATGTATATACCAAAAAAAGAAAAGAACTATGAAATGAAAAAGCTTCATGTAAGCTAGAGCAGAAATGCTGCTTAGATCGTTCAATTTTTCATTTTAATGCACACAATTTACATTTCTGACGCTATAGATATATTGAATTTTAGTTGACCTTTCACTTTCTTTTGATGGACAGTGGAATGGAGCTTACAGAAGCCTTGCGGTTGCAGATGGAGGTTCAGAAACGACTTCACGAACAACTCGAGGTATAATGTTTAATCTAAATTTCATCAAATTTACATGTAAATTTCACTTTAATTTGGTAGTCTACTTCAGTCTATTCACTTGCCCACTTGTTCTCTTACGTTGTGTAAATGCATTACTTCATTGTATCTTTTTTGTAGGAGATTTTACTTTTTTTTTTATTAGAGCATTTATACACTTGCCACCAAATTCTTATGTAATACATATCTACATTTAAATTTTGCCTTTTACGTTTATACAACCCAAATCTTTCATTTCAAATAAAAATACAACCTTTCTAACTTGAAAGTGAAATATACTTTTTCTATGTATAGGTAAGGTGGTATGCATACAAGGTGGTATGCATATAAAAATTGAAGTTTTTTTGCTTTAGATATGTAAATACATAGGAATCGAGTGGTATATATATGTGTAAATTTTTCTTTTTTTTTAGGGTGGATGTTAAATAGGATTTACAATATCCAGTAAATCTGATAAATTCAGATTTATAAAATTAGTGTGCAACAAAGATGGAGCTTGTGAGTGACGACAAATAAATCCGCCTCGCGATTTGATTAGTAAATCCGGATTTACGACATAAAAGACACATAATAAGAGAAATTTAATTAAACGAAGCGTAGGATTTAATTTTCATTGTTTTGATGTTTTGCTGGATTTTAGTTAAATTCATGGCTAAATACCATTAATAATATGCGATCAAATACTACCTAACTCTGCTATTATATATAATTGTTTGATTCTATTTCATCCTACCAAGGTTTTTTTTCTACTAACCTTATAATCTTCCCTACCTTCCAACTCTATTTAACTCTGCAGATTCAGAGGAACCTGCAACTACGAATTGAAGAACAAGGGAGATGTCTCCAGTTGATGTTTGAACAGCAATACAAAGTTGGATTGGATAAGCTCAAGCCGCCGGCTTCTGATCAAGATGAGCAAACCGCCGAATATTGTTGCACAACACCACCCTCTCCTAAAAGTTCAGCCTTTGAGAAGGAGAGGGATGAGAAAGGAAATTCCTCTTCCACCACCATTGCTAAAGAGGTAAAGCTTACAGCGGTGGCCGATCAGCAGAGGGTGGAGGACAATGGCTTTCTTCGAGCAAAGCCTCCCGACGACAGGCGCACAGAAGGTGATCTTAAAGAGCATATATCTGAATGATGGATGAGTAGGTGGGGATGAGGAGATGATCAATAAGATCATCAGTAAATTGGTAACAGAGTTTCCTTCACAGAAGATGAAATGGTTAAAACTTGATGTTTATGATGGCCTCTTCTTGTTTCAGTGAAATGATGGTGGTCTTTTTATTCTTTTCATTTTTTTTTGAGAGAAGTGTTTGTACAATAATTTTTCTATGGTGGATGTAAGTGTTTTGTAGCAAGTGATTTTGTTGTTCTTCCTCTGAATCATCTTTTATAGATTTTTTCGGGCAGGGTGAGAGCTCAAATCTTGGGGTGTCAAAAGTTGATCCACACACGCCGATATGACTCGAACTCGACTTGAAAAATTCGGGTTTGGGCAAGGTGAGCGCCAACATTTTTTGAGTCGGATTCGGGTTAGAGAATTCAATCCGTTTATTATTCGTGTCATGTTCGAGTTAAACTCAAAAATTCAAACATGACTCGAGTAAGCACTAAATTTTAATTCGGGTTCGGGATAGCGGGTCAAGTTCGAACGTAAGTTTTAGTTTTCGACTCGTTTATTATTCGGGTCTGGGTTCGGGTTCGGGTTGATCATTTTTAGGTTGGACCCGAATTCGACCTGCTAACTCGAATTTGACACCCATACTCAAATTTGACACTTTGTTATTCTTCACTTTGTTTTTAAACAATATGTTGCATATTCGAGCACTTCTATAAATCTTAAAATGATGAGATTCAAATGTTATGTAAACACTAGGGAAGTGATGAAATATCTTCTATTTTTATGTTACCAGTTTCTAATTCTCTTTATTTGAGGCCTTCTGTGGAATGCAAGTGGCAACTGATATGGATAAAATTGGGCATTTGTTTAAATAGGGGTGTCAATTGTGGTATGCGGGTCAAGTTTTGGTTCAACATAAAATTGTCATGACTCGAATGGATTTGATTTGAATCCGACCGGAATATTGTATGGGTTGAAAAACTCAACCCGAACTCTTGACTCGAACACAGGTAACTCGAATCTACCCGTAGAACTGATAATTTAGCTAAAAAATTGTTGATCGCACGAAAATTAATTCAAATTTGAGCTTGGATAAAAAATAACGAGCTGAGCTATGAGCAAGCCCTTGGGTCAAACTTTTTTTGTTTGTCCATTTAGAGCATTTAGAGCAGGAGTCATATGGGATCTATCAGCTCGCATTCATATCAGATACATGATACATGTTTGGATAAGATGGTGGAAAAGTGGAAGCCTCATAGATCGCAGGTGATTTGCATGCGGGGTTAAAGTTAAATCCTTTTCATTCTCAACAACTCCCCCATTTTGTTTCTCCGGCGCCTTTGCAGTCTGCGGTTTGTCGTCTGCCCCTTATGAAATCCTTAACCCTAGGTGATGAAGCATGCCTTCGGTGGTTCGAAGAAGTCTCACGGGTTTGGTGGTTTCATTGGCTCTTTTCCTAATCTCCTTCTCTCCGACCTCACCACTTTTTGCTGTAACAATAACTTCCTTCTCTCAAGCTCACATTTTTCATTTCATATTGTCGTTGGTTTGATCTTTATTTTATTCACGTAAATGTTTATATGTTTCTTGGGTTGGCAATAAGAATTTTTGTTTTGTTTTTGTTATTGTTGAAGTTCTTAGGTTTATTATCATTAAACTAATTTGGTTTATTCATCCGCTACATTTGGTGTTGAGTGTTGAACATTATGAAGGAGAAAGTTGTGTTTTTGTTTTTTTTAAGGGTTGTAATAGATTTCAACTTTCACATTTTTCTTTGGTGCTTGGTTTTGTTTAGTTGAAAATTTGTTTTTATAAGTGGCATAGTTGAACATATTATTTTCCATGATTTCTTCTTATAACTTTTGTCATCAATCTGTTTTATAATGTTTGAAGAGGAAAGCCCAGGATCATTATGTAAAAAAAGTTTGGTTGCTTCTATCTGGCAGAATTAATCATTTTGAAGCTCAAATATATGATTGATTAGTTGCTTCTATGAGCATAAAACTAAAAGCACTTTTTTGACATGCCTTTCGAAGATCTGTGAAGTATTAATTTTCTTTGTTTTTTTTTTTGTTAGATTGTTAGTGGCCACTTGCCAACCCCTATGGACATTATATGTTTTGTTGAATGTTCAAGGTTAGTTGAAATATTAAAATCCAAGTAAAGAGTGTAATATGACTTCTTTATTGGCTGTTATAGATTTGTCTCTTTCATTAGAAATATTTATTTTCTTTACTGACATCTCATACTTGATAGTTGCTAGCTTGCTGCAAACCTAGATTTTGGTGAAATTTCTGTTAAAATAATATTTGATGTTATTTATTATTATTGAATCAATCATTGAGGGGAAATATTGAATAGTTCTTTATGTGGAAAAAAATTAATATTTTTTGATATTTTCTTAAAAATTTTGTTATTACGATATAGTGATAAATTGTGTTGAACGTAACTAGGTCAAGAGTTGAGAATGTATACCCAAGTCTTCTTCTTGAATCTTGGTTGGCTTTACAAAATGAGTTATTGAAAAGTTATGAGCTTTTGATTAAATGAGATATTGTTTGTTGATTTCCCCTTATTTCGGCCATAACATATTAACACGTTCTCAATCATCATATGTTTGTTTGTTTGTTGGTTTCCCTTTATTTCGGCCATAACATATTAACACGTTCTCAATCATCATATGTTTGTTTGTTTGTTGGTTTCCCTTTATTTCGGCCATAACATATTAACACGTTCTCAATCATCATATGTTTGTTTGTTTGTTGGTTTCCCTTTATTTCGGCCATAACATATTAACACGTTCTCAATCATCATATGTTTGTTTGTTTGTTGGTTTCCCTTTATACTTCGTGATTTATGCTTATGGGCCTGTGAATTATTAAATGTCAATTGTCAATGCACAATTTTTTCTCTACCTATTTTTTAGCCCAAATATGTAATGAGTTAAATACGCTTTTTTTTGGGGATAATGATACTTTGTTATTGGTTGGTTAACTTTTGGATGATATTTGTTATTGCCAAATATGCATAGTTACTGTAAATGCTACTAGGTTAGCTATTTTTGGACGAAAAGAATTGCTGTAAATGTATATTTGTATAATTTTGTTGGAACTTGGAAAGATATGCCTATTTGTATCTTGGTTTCCCCCCATTTCATTCACTATTGTCCGTTGGTGTTTGACTCCTAGTTATTTTATTATAGATGATTGTCCTTTTATCTGAATGTGCAACTATATCATTTTTTTGTTTGCGGACAATAAGTCCTTTGCTCTTAAGGCTTAACATTTGGACGACATTTGTTATTATTTATTCTTCTTGTTTACTACAAATCAACGAATGCAACCAAGTTAGCTGTTGGTTTTTTAACTTAATGCTGCAAATCTTCTTAGCGACAATGGCAACTCAATCTCAAAAAAACCTAATAGTTCTTCAAGTCAGTCTCTTGTTGATGTAGTAACAACTCAAAATGAGAGTATGAGTGAAATTGCTTCAATTAAAGAGAAAAAGGTAAAAAGTCTGAAAACATTTTAGTGAAATATCATTCCTATCTCAAATGAACAAACATTTTATAACAGATC